ATCAGAAAGTTATGCACTGTGACAACAGGAATAGAGCATGGAATTGGGAATCAGGCCTCCTCGATTCCATCCTAATTGCACTTACTTGAGTAGGTAAAATGAAATGCATGGTTGTACATGAGCAATTTTTCTACCTCACAGACAGGTTGTTCCTATTAATTAATGTTTGCAAAATGCTCTATGTCCCTCAGATGAAAGGTGATATATGCAAGTGCAAAACACCTATAAACAGTTCAGTTACAGCAAACAAGCAGACTTGCAGGTTGTCATAGAAACTCTAGGTAAAGCCTGCCTTCTGTTCCCATTTTTTCCTTTCTAAGCAGGCATATTGTACAGAGTTAGAGACATTTTAAAATAGCATTGTTTCTTTTTAAAGGCAGCAAAGGCAAATGACATTTCCATCTCTACCTAGAGGTGAGGATTTGTTTTTTTAACAAAGTCTTAAATCTCCTGTGCAATGCCCTCTTTTTTTTTTTCAGGTGGCCATTACTTTCAATCAGAGCTCATGTTGTACAGCGTACATTAGCAAGGACATTCACATACCTCACTGTGGATATCTGCTGGGTGTTCCAAGGTGCTCCAAGGGTGAAAGTAAATTCTTCCAATTAAACAGAAGCACATGCAATGTGTGTTAGATTGTGGGAAAATACTATTCCTAGTTCACATAGATTATCTGTCCGCCTCTGTAGAACACATAACAGTTTGGTTTATATGAGATTAATTCCTTAACAATATGTAGTTTTCCTAACTGGGTATGTGTGATGGGTTGGATCACAGAACCCGCCTTGGGAACTGTCAACTGATGTGCCAAGACTACTTCTGTCCCTGCTTTCCCTGCTGGCCTGGGAATCCAGCAACTTGTCTTGTTGAGCCAGACACACCAGTCTGCTCCAACACAGACCCAGGGTCTGAACCACGTGCCCCAAAGCTGCAGACATAACTGAAGGCAACTTACGGAAGTGTTCCTGTCTTTAACACTCAGATGCCCAATCCCAATGGGGTCCAAACCCCAAATAAATCTGTTTTACCCTGTATAAAGCTTATACAGGGTAAACTCATAAATTGTTCGCCTTCTATAACACTGATAGAGAGATGTGCACAGCTGTTTGTCCCCCCCGCCCCACGTATTAATACATACTCTGGGTTAATTAATAAGTAAAAGTGATTTTAGTAAATACAGAAAGTAGGATTTAAGTGGTTCCAAGTAATAGCAGACAGAACAAAGTGAATTACCAAGCAAAATAAAATAGAACATGCAAGTCTATGTCTAAGACAACTGAATACAGATAAAACCTCACCAGTTCCAGTAAGCTTCCTTTTACTGACTAGTCTCCTTCTAGTCTGGGTCCAGCAATCACTCACACCCCCTGTAGCTACTGTCCTTCGTTCCAGTCTCTTTCAGATATCCTTGGGGGTGGAGAGGCTATCCCTTTAGCCAGCTGAAGACAAAATGGAGGGGTCTCCCGCAGGCTTAAATATACTTTCTCTTGTGGGGGGAAAACCCCTCCTCTCTCCTATGCAAAGTCCAGTTCCAAGATGGAGTTTTGGAGTCACATGGGCAAGTCACATGTCCATGCATGACTGAGTTTGTTACCAGCCAAGACACATTCCTGGGAAAGCTACGATGTGGATTGGCGTCTTCGAGTTCATTGTTGGCTTAAGTGGTTCTTGATTGGGCATTTAATTTGCACATTCCTTTCTCAATAGAAATCAAGCAAGTATACAGCTAATATTCCTAACTTCAAGTACAAAAATGATACATGCATACAAACAGGAGGAATGTATTCAGTGGATCATCAACTTTACATAGATATGTTACATGACATATGTAGCATAAAACATATTCTAGTTATATATATATATTCCCATGAAGATTTATGGGGTACACCGTCACAGTATGTATATTCATGCTGTATGATTTTATGTGTATTTTAGTTATTTTAGTGAAAAATAGGTTTATAACCTTCTTGGCAAGTACTTTAACTATTTTTTCTAAATATCTGTGGGATGGATTATAGGCCACTGAGCAAATTTAGCTATGAGGTATTCCTCAGTACAGTTTGCGATGGTATCTGTGCAAGCTGGTCTCTAGATTGTACCAGACCAGGGGACTGGCCTTTGAGACTCTCCACTTACCTGGTAAGGCTGTTGTGTTCCTATTTGCATGTTTCGCATTATATTTTCAACCCATACCTGTAGCACAGTAACAAGAGCTGGTGGACAGGGGGAAATTGTATAACGAGGGTGACACAGCAAAAATCCACCATGAAGACATCACTGTATGGAATTGTACTGTAGATTTGTCTCCAACATTTCCTTGAGAGATCTCCAGACTTTGCAAGACTAGTGATTATGCTGGCAGTTTGCCAGGCGCCTGGGGGACTGCACCTACTTTTAATATAAATGCATCACAGACTAAATGCACACAATCATAATATTTGTACTTGTATTTAGGGGAAGTGAGATTGCTTATTGTTTCAGCATATTGACATTAAAACCTTGCATTTGCTTACCTTTCTTCTCTTTCTCCTCTTAAAGGGAAGGAAGTAAATAGTGAGCTACACTTTAGGGCTTCATATGTCACACCTAGTTCTTAAACATACCATAAGCTCAAGTAAGAGGAACTTTTCCTAGCTAAAGCACAGGAGACCTGGGTATTTTTGTTCCCAGTTTTGCTACAGGCTCATTCTGTGACCTTGGGCAAGTGACTTAGGCCCACACTTTCCAAAATATTTTTGGGTATTCAACCTGAGGCACCAGGGACCCTGATTCTGAGATTTGCTAAGAACCCTACAATTTACATTGACTCAGCTGGAGTTGAGTGGTTTCTACCTCTGAAAATCAGATATTAGATGTATGAAGTTAAAATTAAAAATCACAGAGATCCCCACATGACAGTAGGGTTTTAACCATTTTTATGGTAGGGCTCTCTTATGGTATCTCTATCTTACAGATGAAAGGAAAAGCAATCTGGGTTGGCTAATGCACAGCATATTATTTCTGTAGCAGTGCCCTGTGTGTACCAATAGAAACTACATCATCCGTTCAGAAAAAAATCTACATACATGTTTCTTTCTTTTCCTGTTTTATAATAGAAATGTTAACCTTGGCACAGGGCATTTCCTGAGGGTTGACTGACATGTCTTGGTGATATCTTGGGTCATCTGTTCCACCTAGTCAGCCTTTAATCCTCGGGGAATGTCTTGTGCCTCAATAGTAATTATTGCTTAAGACAATGAGCTCATTTCTGTGGGTTGTTTTATGCATATGGAATGCAGTATTTTTCTTTCAGTGCTGATTGCAATGTCTGATTCATCATATCCATATTGATGAGTGAATGAGGTCCAGATATGCAAATGGAAGGAAGGTGGCTTTTATCCTTCCCACAGATGTTTATATAGAAAGCAATGAGTACTGTTTTAACCACAATTGATTAATTTGGATAATAACACTATAGCTATTTGTCCAGTTACAAGAGACATCCCATAGCACTACTTAGGGCATGGGCAAAACTAAGGGAGCAATCTCATTGGTTAATTGAAATCCAGAGCTGTGAGAGTCTGAGAGAACAACTGATCAGCTCCACACTACATTGTTAGTCTTATTCTAATATTTTTTGTTCACAAATTCAGTATGATTGTTGTATAAGTGCAATAATGTTCAGTCTCCAGCAAGTGCCTTTGGCTTTATACCTTACTACATGCTCAAGGTCTCATGGTTATCTTACAACAACAGTACATCTGTTCAGGTGTGGTTTCCTACTTATAAGACCCTCATCAATATCACATATGTTTGATACGTTGGGATATTCCAAAGAGCACTGATAGCAGTTGATTTCAAGCATTGCTCACTAGGCTAGCGTGTTCTATAGGCTTGATGCTGAAAGGTACTGAGCCCTCCTGGTAGGTGCTGAGTGCCTTCAACCCTCTTTGATGTCAGTGGGAGTTGAGAGTGCTTAACAGTTTGCAGAATTGAGTTCTGCTGTCTCTCGTAAGCATTGTTGTGCAGCACAGTTTGTTGAGTAATCAGGTAGTCATTAGTATTATGTTGGTCTGTTGTCACCCAAGGCACGCTCATGACATATTATGATATGTTGAATATGATATATTTTAAAAATAATGCAGTGTAATCCAGGCTGGTTTTGCCTTTCTCTTCCTTGATTCCTCTGTGGAATCCATGACTAGCACGCAGAAGGCAGTTGTAAGAATACAGCATCCTTGCTGCAGCATTTACACATGATGGATATGAATTTCAATGAATGTGACTCATCGGTCAGCTTACTTAGTGCTGCTGAGACTCCTTTTTAATTTCTATCTCTTGGCTCCATAATGACCAGCAATTACAGACAAAGGAGTTCCTCTGACATATCAAATGCCTCAGTTGAAACAATGGCTCACTGACAGCACAGCAGCTCACTGAAGATTCTCAACTGTGTATTTTGTTTCCTTCCCTTGTGATAATGATTGTAATACTACATTGGACTCCCCATTGTAGACTTACTCAGAAAACTAATTCGAGAGATTGCAAATGAAATTTTTACATAAATTATGCTCACATTTATTAAACATCTATATAAATTAAAAACGTCAGTGTACACTCTGCATGTGTATATGTTTATAGTAAATAAATATATGAATAAGTGGCTGCATAATTACAAAAGTCATAGTTGCCAGTTACTCTGCACACAGTACTAGGGATGAAACCCTGATTCTTTGGTGTCAAAAATGCCTTTTAGACTTGAAGTAAAGGGGAAGCTCCATGAGCTAGTAACTAGTAGTTAGGCTGTTTATAGGGCTGCCACTAGAAAGGGACGGAATTGTGACCATATGACAAGGTGAGAACAGAGAGCATGCTTAATGGCATCTCATCTCTAATCTGCCTCTGAATGGGCAGTCTCTGCATTATAATCACAACTCTGTACTAGTTCTATTCTAGGCACGGGCTTTTGAAATGTTACTGTTGCCATACTAAACATTCTAAATCTTCTCTTTATTTTACAGGAGGCCCAGAAGATTAATGCTGGTGGGGAAACCCAGGCTGATGGAACCCTCAAACCTACAGATGAGAAAGAGGAGACTGTCGCAGCGGAAGTGGGCTGGATGACCTCTGTGAAAGACTGGGCAGGAGTGATGATATCTGCCCAGACTCTAACCGGCAGAGTCCTTGTGAGTTTTACCCAGTTTGCTCAAATCTTCTTTAAAAAGAGTAATTGTTAATGAGCTCTTCATCTTATTGTCTCAGGAGGGCTGGATTTTGCTAATCAGCGCTATGCCACACCACTAATTCTCTCCCTTCACAGTTTCTCTTGGAAATGAAAAAGACAGACCTGCTCCCATTGCTGAGACAGCAAGTTATGAAAGTCCTTTTTTGTTGTAGATAGGGACTGATTCTTCTATCTACGCCAATATTTTTGCAGGCATAACTTTGCACGCTTCCCCATACAATACATGGTACCCATAGTGTGGCACTCCTGGTGAATTTCCTACTAGTTCATTATTAGTGCAAAAGTGTGAGCTTATTGCCTAGTGGACACAAGGTTACACTTCAAAAGTGGAGGCCAGATTGAAAATTGGGCTCAATGAGAATGGTTTTTTTTAGCTGTTAGTAGAAACTGTAGAATAGGATTTGAATGAGATGTGCAATGTGGATTATCTTGGTTCCTACAAAGCTGTGATGATCTATTATTCTTTTTTTAATCTACTCAGAAAATCCAGATAAACAAATGGAGCTGTACATCAGAAATTGAAAATACAAAATTTTGTGGTCAAAAAGTGTATTAGAAAAGCAGAAAGTTTTCACTCAGTTAAGTTCAGTCAGGTAATTTTGCAGTCCTGTTAACTACTACTGCATTTCTACTGGCCTGATCTGAAGCCCATTGAGGTCAATGGAAGATCTTCTCTGTGCTTCAGATTAGGCCTGATGTCAACAGTTTTGTACTTAATGCAGAGATTGGTCATATAGTGTGGGTTGAATTCTATGCTCCAATCCCAGTAAAAACTAAGTGGGATATCTGTGGTGATATGGATTTAAGTGAAAGCAGATTTTTGCCTTTGATTTTTAATTTTGGGAAAAGAGAGTTTTTATTGCTCATAGAAACGATGTTGCTGCTCTTGGGCTGATATTTTCCTTATTGTCTAAGCATCTTCTCTGTGAAATTAGCAGAATTTCTTAAAAACACGTGGGGCTTTTCAGGCTTTTAGACTGACTCACAATGCAATGTTAAGGTGATACAGATCCTATTATTCCTATTGTTTTCTATTGCTTTCAACAATAATTAATTTAGATTGTTTTTCTTAATAAAATTCTATTGCTGTCTTACCTATTTTAAGTCCTAGCCCTATACTATTGACAAATGTCTCCTCTCTTGTTCATGCAATCAATATCTGTGATATGTTTTGCACTCATTCAACAGAGATCTGATCTGCAGGTGAATCTAAAAAGAAAATTTTATTTGGATTCTCCTCCCCACTTAACATCAGTTATTTTCTACTATCTGGCTTATTAACCTGTGCAGCCCATCTTACCTGACTACCTCTTGGGATATTGCTTTTAGATTTAGGGCTTGTCTACATTTAAAATGCTACAGAGGTGCAGCTGCGCTACAGTAGTGCTTCAGTGTAGAAACTGCCTAGTCCGATGGGAGGGGTTCTCCCACTGGCATAGGTAATTCACCTCCCCAAGAGACAGTAGCTAGGCTGATTAAAGAATTCTTCTGTCAACCTAGTGGTGTCTACACAGAAACTTAGGTCATCTGAACAACGCTGCTCAGAGGTGTGGATTTTTCACACCCCTGACTAATGTAGTTAAACCAACTTAATTTTCTAATTTTCTGACCTTCTCTGTGTGAGCCTGACATACCAATCATTTTATGAAGAGTGGTGTACTGGTTTTCACATAATTTCTTGACATCTCCAGCATTAAAAGTGGCAAATCTTAACAATCTGACTCTTTCTTGTGAATGTGCTGATTTCTCATGTGCTGATGTATTCCTTTGCATGTGCTGATTTATTTATCAAAGATGAAATTCACCCCAGGATAGGAGTCTTACATAAACAAGCACTCCCCACTTAAACCCTTAAGGGAATTGTAGGAATTTATGCCTGTTCTCTGAGCTGGGGTGAATTTCACCACAAATTCAAAGAAGTTAAAGGTAAAATCTGAACCATAAAAAATGGAGCAGTTTATCCTACTAGAGTTGCTTCAAGGCATTAAGAGAGCTTTTAAAAACGTTTTTTTCCCAGTTACAGTACTTGATCATTTCATTAATTTTGTCTTCAAAATACACCATTGTCTGCTGCAAGCAATTAGTTTATTCCCAATGTTTTATCTAGACACAATGGACCTACTTCTGACCTTAGGTAAAATTCACTGTTTCCTTGAGCATTTCAGCTAGGCAGCATATTTGCTAGAATATTTGTGGAAATTGAACACAGCTGAATCTAGATTGGTATTTTTATTTGATTGAATATTTGTTGGAAAATATTTTGAGAGATTCACCCACGAATTCCTAGTGAATTAACATAGCCCACTCCGGAAAGCTATTATGTTTTTGTCCAAGAACAATGTAGAAATTTCTAAAGCTAATGGCTGTACAGTGTTATTGAGGATCAAAATAAGACCAGATAGAGCTGTGGCTGAAGAAATTAAAGTACCTTTTCATACTGTAGGCCAGGGTTTAACTCAAAATCAATCTTCCACATTCACTATTAAATAACCTTTAGGAACTGGTCCCCTGAACACTGACTTGGGAGAAAAGTTGTAATTGATTTTTAGTGCAGCACGATCGCATGAAAGCTGTTATATAACTGCTGTCTGGATTTATTTGCCAAGTGAAGGGGACAAGTTAGCAAAGTGTGGTGTAAACATCAGTTTAAAGTGGAACCTCATTAATGTTTTCTTCTCATCGAAAAATCTCGCTTAATCATTCTTATCTGGGCAGTCAGTTCCTTGGAAGTGACTTGCAGTGGAGTGACAAATTCTGTCTGTAGAACCTAAATTGAATGTTTGCAGGACCAATTCCTACTGAAGCTTAGTGTCAGGTCTAGTCAAGCTTCCAGCTCGTCCTTGCAAACCTCATGAAGTAGATTTCCTAACTTAACAAATCATATTGCACAGGTGCTTAGAGTGGGTGAGTGGGATAGCATACATTTACACTTACTGCTGCTGTTGAGCTATATTTGCCCCTCAGTCAGCTTAAACACTATGCTGTTAGAATGTGCAATGGGTCTACTAGGGTGACTACCTATATTTCAAGGAAATAAAGAGTAAAGGTATGAAAAGTACAGGGCAAAGCTTATTTTTAAGGGACACCGCCCCCACAATGATATAAGGTAGTACATTTTTGTAACAGTGTATGATCTTTTGCACAATTATTTACCGAATTGTTGCTTTAAACCAAACATTCTGCCTGATTAAGTAATTCTTAGATGTGTCTTATGGAACATCGATCATGGGTCAATAGGCAGAAAATAAGGTTCCCTAAAAATATAGGGCAGAGGGCCTTCTTCAATCTCACAGTTCTAGAGCTGGTCAGGAATTTTTTGATGAAATATTTTTTCATCAGAAAATGATGATCCCTCAAAATGTAAGCTGTTGGTTGGGTTTGACAAATTTCTCATTTTGAAAAAAATTAAGAAAAAAAGCTTTTGAAATTGTTGAAATATCCTGTTTTGAGCTTTTTGAAAATTAATAGTTCTGTTTTTCAGTTTGTTTAAATAGTCAAGCTAATAATGATAAACCAAAAATAAATAAATGAGGTCAAACATAAAATTAAATATTTAAGTTTTGATTGACCTGAACTGATTTTTTTCAGATTGTTGGTTTGTGAACATTTTCAAGATTTTGACTATTTGTCCTGATTCAGGATGAAAAAATATTCTGAAATCTTGAAAATGTTTCCAACATGGGAAACCTCCATTTCCCAGCTCTATGCAGCTTACCTGGAAGAAAGTTATATAATCTCTTCTTCTTCTAGCTATCTGGTTTACTGCATTTTCCATCAAATTTATCTTCTGTGCATCTGTCTATGTTTTCTTGTCGCCCTAAATGGGAAGATGCAAGTGCTCAGCACTACATAAAATAGAATGTCACCTTTGTTCAAGAGCATAAGCTAAGACACTGCTGTACGAAGCCTGCCATGATCAACAAAAATAGAAATGTGAATAATTTGATTACCGCAGAAGTTTATCTTGTCACCTTGCCACTGGTGTTTGTATTATTCATTTTGGTGTCTTCCTTAAAGAGGAGATAGACTTAGATTGTGAAATGTACCAAAATATGTGGATAAAAATCTTGGATGATCGTTAGATGAAATGCTGTACAGATGTGTGATTTTAATTAAAGGTGAATTAATGTGGCTTTGAAAAATAAATACATTAAACATGTAAAGCTGCTGTAATACTTAGAGGTGGACTCTAAGAAACACACCCTGACTAGCTGGGGTACTGGGTGTCTGGTGTCAGTCACCCTTTTACCATTTTGTCTCTGTCAGGGTTTCTTCCCCACTCTGAACTCTGGGGTACAGATGTGGGGACCCGCATGAAAGCCCCCCTAAGCTTATTTTTACCAGCTTAGGTTAAAAACTTTTCAAAGGCACAAATTCCACCTTGTCCTTGAACAGTATGCTGCCACCACCAAGTGATTTAGACAAAGAATCAGGGAAAGGACCACTTGGAGTCCTATTCCCCCAAGCCCTACACTCCCTTTCCTGGGGAAGGCTTGAGAATAATATCCTCACCAATTGGTGCAGGTGAACACAGACCCAAACCCTTGGATCTTAAGAACAATGAAAAATCAATCAGGTTCTTAAAAGAAGAATTTATTTAAAGATAAAAGAATCACCTCTGTAAAATCAGGATGGAAGATGACTTTACAGGGTAACAAAAGATTCAAAACACAGAAGATTTCCCCTCTAGGCAAAACTTTAAAGTTACAAAAAACAAACAAACCAGGAATAAACTTTCCTCTTAGCACAGGAAAAATTCACAAGCTAAAACAAAAGATACTCTAACGCATTTCCTTGCTATTACTTACTATTTCTGTAATATCAGATGTATCATTTCAGTGGGACCTGGATTACTTGCTTGGTCTCTCCCTTTGTCTCTGGAGAGAACACCCACACAGCCCAAAACAAAGCCTCCCCCCCCCTCCCCGGATTTGAAAGTAT